CCAAAATGTAAATCGGTCGCTAACCAATTAACGACTTGCCCTTTTGCGACCACCCATTTCGGTCGCTAATTTCGGTCGCTAACAGAATAGCGACCGATTTTTAGCTATTAGCGACCGATATTTTCGGTCGCTAAAAGCGTTTTTTCTTGTAGTGCATTTTACTGTGCAAGAAAACTTCGTAACGAAGTTTTCCTCATGCACAGTAAAATTTTTTTCTTTTATATGTTCGAAGGGGGGATGAATGGTTTTTGCGGGAAATTCTTCCTCCCATATCACATGTTCCTTATTCTTCTTCTTCTATTGTCTAAATTTCAAGCAACGAGACTCTACTCGTGCAGGATCTGGTGAAACGGGAGAGAGCTTGAATTAAGTGGGAAAGCTTCGGTAGAAATACCATACCAGGTAAGGGGAAGTTTAATTCATTCAATATATGAAATTGAATTGTTGGGTACTCTGTGAATAAGGAATAGGAGTTGAGATATGAATTATTTGAATGTCCGATTTTGAAGAATTTCGATTCTGATGAAGCTGTTCACAGTGTGAAAGTTTACGAAATTCTTGAAATTAAGGATGAATTATATAATAAAATTGTTGTTTTTAACTTAAATTGAACATGTTTATGGTTTAATTTTGATTTGGAACTAATTTGGGTGATTGAAGTTGAAAAATTTGAAACCTGGATTTTGAAAATGACGTCTTGGAGGTGATTACTATTCATATTTTGCAAAGTTTTAAATATTGATTAAATTCTTGAAAATTAAGGATGAATTATATAGTAAAATTGTTGTTTTCAACTTAAATTAGATATAATTCATGTTTAATTTCGATTTGGGACTAATTTGGTTGTCTAAAGCTGAGTAATTTGAAATCTGCCAAAATCTGTAAAATTCGACACTGTTACTGGGCGAAGGAAGAAGAAAGGGATATGGTGGGGATTTTTTAAAAAGATCAAGGGTAAAATAGTCATTTTTCATCTTAGGGACATAAATGTAATTTTCGAAAATGTTCAAGGGCAAAATAGTCATTTTACATCCTAGGGACATAAATGGAATTTTTGAAATTGTTCAAGGGTAAAATAGTCATTTTTGGGACATGGAAGGACTTTTTGAAATGTCCAAGGGCAAAATAGTCATTTTTGGGACATGGAAGGAATTTTAAAAAATGTCTAAGGGTAAAATAGTCATTTAGGGACATACGTGGAATTTTAAGAAAAGATTAAGGGCAAAATAGTAATTTAATGATTTCAAAAATGATTTCAAAAATAGTTTCGGAAATAGTTTCGGAAATGATTTCGGAAATGATTTTAGAAAAACATATATATAAAAAGAGAGAGAGAGAATGAAAGTAATGTGTTGTGATGTGTGTGAGTCAGACTGAGCCTGAAGGATGATGCCCAGAATCAGTCCTGAGAAGTTATATATTTGTTAGACGGAGCCGGAGGGATGGTGTCAGAATCAGTCAAATACTATTTTTATTTACCCGAATGAGCGGTGAGGACAGGTGGTCCAGAATCTGGCAAATGTGAATAAATTTTGTTATGTTTGAATGGTACCTGGGGTGGTACAGAGTACATTAGTGTAATAACTATGTCGGAGGATTCTGAATGAGGTCCCAGACTTCACTGATTGGTCGGGTCAGGTAGACTACGAGATCAGGTGGTGAGAAGTCGATGGGGGGATGACTGGTGACGCGCTCGGAGGGGTACTCCAGTATGAGTGATGAAGGGCGTCAGTAATCCTACTCTGTGTGGAGGGTGGTCAGAATGGTACTGCGGGTACCTATCACAATGTGCCCACAGATGATAGCCTCTGAGTTCGGGCATAGTTAAGATATACTTCTGGAAGGTGTCTTAGTGTGTTGATAATTTCGTAATTGATCATAATATATAATTATTACTTCTATATATGTTTTATTATATCGAATGATTTAATACTTACCCCTATTTTTCCATGTGGATGGGACTGTGATGATCACTTTTATGTGGGAGCAGATCAGGAGTTGAGAGATGGTGATGTGACTACTGGACAGCAGGGATGGTTCAGTGGAATAGCTTCGAGGGAGCTACTTTTACATGTGTAATATATAAATAAATTATGTTATTATATTTTGAAGTTCCGTTAGTGAACTGAAATTTCAATATATGTTACAATTACAATATAATGTAAAATAGATGTTGTTATTTACTTGTTTACTACTTTGCGAAGACATCATTATAATAGCGATTTCTAGGGTCGTTACATTCTTCCACTGGAAATGATTTGTCTTGTGGCATGCTCCATGTTGTCTTCATTATCGGACAAAATTATTCGAGTGTCAAAAGCAACTTCAATTAGAAGGTTAACACAAAATTGTTCATTATCATATTACCTTGTGCATGCAAAACAACTTAGTTTCCCGTTGTCACATTGAGATGAAGTTTAATTCAATGTCATCAAACACCTCTTTTTCAATCAATGCATGTATATTTGTTCATTTCACTAAGATCAATTTTTTTTAATTGTATTCATAAAAACTGCTCCTCATAAATGAGGATGGATTGTATATGTTGTTTTTATGTTGTCTTTATTACAATGTCAACATTTCAGTATGCCAAAATTAATGAGTGTCAGGCTACTTGTGCATGCAACACAATTGTCTTTAACGGTTTCCTAGACTAAGATTAAATACATTATGCTAAGAAATAAAACATTAAATAACTTTTATATTTTGACAAAAGTAATAAATATTCTTAATTAATGTCTTAAGTACTTATTAATAATATATGTACTTCAAGTTTTTCCAACATGAAATAACAATTATGATTTTGAGTTTCCTCTAGATCACTTAAAAAAGTATTATAAAAATTAAATAAAAAATAAATCATCTTATTAAAATTTTGTGTTAACCTTGTAATTTTGTGTTAACCTTGTAATTATTGAAGTTGCTGAACAATTGTGTGTTAATCTTGTAATTGTAATTGTTGAAATTGCTTAAGCAATGAAGACAACGTGGCACAAGACAAATCATTCCAGTGGAAGAAGGCCACGCAAATCCTTTTTATAATTTGTATTTTTAATCCTTTAGTAAAAAAAGAATTGATTTTAAACGATTTAGAGGAAATTCTAAACCATAATTTTGATTTTATGTGTTGGAAAAACTTAAAGTACATATGAATAAGTAGTTGAGGACATTAATTAAGAAATTATAAAAATATTTATTACTTGTATCAAAATATTTAATGTTTTTTAATAGATATGTTAGTTTAGACATGAAAGTGTAATGTTTTATAGACATTAATTCTTTAATTAGTTTATAAATATAAAAAAATATGTTTATATATATATATATATATATATATATATATATATATATTACTTTGTCAATCAAAATGTTTTTCTTTTTAATTAATATTTTTTTAAAAGTTAATTTTAAGTTTTTCTTATTTTTATTAAAAAAAATTGTTAAATATTATAACATAAATTACACGTAATTAATTAATAACATAGCGTGACATCTCAAAAGTAAAAAGATAAATGAGTTAAAAAAAATTGTAATTAATTTTTTTTAATATTACATAACGGTAAAATTGTTGTAGATATTATCATAAGGTTAAAGGTGAAGCAAATACCGTAGTTTCTCATATAAAATAAAACCTAATTTAACTATCACCATTGTTAAACACTATTGAAAAAAAAATGCGGACCTTAGAACAACTGAAAATTTGTTCAAATTGTAATATTACTTTATAAAAGTTACTTGAAAATTATAATACAAAATAAACGGATAGAGATTACAATAATGTGCATAGAGATTATGCCACGTGTGTATTATACAACATGGTGATAAATGTGTTTGTATAAACTCAAATTGAGTCCGATCACATGAATGCTTATATGTGAATAAGTGATGGTTTGGATAAAATACAAATTTATTTCTAAGGTGAAGTGTTGACCTACCTAAATCAATTTTTGTACATTATTTTTATTTTTTTTAGAAAATATTTAGTCTTTGTCAATTACATTTAAAAATTACAAAATTCTTTTAATTCTTTTAGAAATCAAAATTTAAAAAAATTACAAAATTAAAATCAAAGTATACATTTTATAATCAAAATTCAATATAATTATAATTAATTAATTTTTTTTTCTTAACTAATTTTTCTTTAACACAATATATTTTTTAATAAATATGGTAGGATATTTAATGTTTGATAAAACTTGGTTATAGATATATGTGAAAAAAAAAAGATCTAAACCAACTTTTGTCATATGTAATGTTTAAGTATCAAAATCAATTTCAGTCAAATCACTTGTATGTGAATGACTTACCTATCAAGAGATTATATTTACTGTTTACAAATCCATTCTTAATAGAGTGTTGTGTAAAAAATATAAAATTACATAATATAAATGAGATGAACAAATATATTTCCATTGCATCACATGTGACAAATACAGTTTGAATGCAGTTTCCACTAATCATAGAAACTGTGGCACAGAAGGCAATAATGAAATGTTAACGTTGTAGTTGTAATTATTGTAGTTGCTTTTTTTAAACAATGAAAACAATATCCATGTCACCAGACAAATGCAGTTTCCACTCATCAAAAGAAGTTGTGTCAGAAGATGTTAAGGTTGTAATTATTGCAATTGTTTTTTTTAAATAATAAAAACAACATGCATGCCACGCAAATGAACCCCATAGTAAGAGATTTTTAATATATAATTATTTGAATTCTGTTAGAAATCAAAAGAAAAAATTTACAAAATTAATATATATATATATATAATATTTTTTTTATATAACATTATCTTCAAATTTTTTTATACAACTGGATGTAACATCATATAATACATTTCATATATCATACGTAACTTTCATGGTAGAACACACAGTTACATGCATTGGCCAAAAAATAGGTGGTTGAATCTGACAACAATTTTAATATAATTATTCAGTTATTTTTTTTACAATGAAAATAATCACTATTATGCATGACACAAGACAAACGTAATTTAGACCACAGAAACCGCGGCAAATCACAACATCACATTTTAAAACTTTCTTCTCTTGACAGTGTTGAGCAGGTTTAATCAAATTCATGCACATTTATCTTACTGGTGCCATACAGAAGAAGTCATCTATAGTTAAATCAAATCATTAACACATATGTTTTGAAAGATGATTTATTTTTTATTTAATTTTTATAATACTTTTTTAAGTGATCTAGAGGAAACTCAAAATCATAATTGTTATTTCATGTTGGAAAAACTTGAAGTACATATATTATTAATAAGTACTTAAGACATTAATTAAGAATATTTATTACTTTTGTCAAAATATAAAAGTTATTTAATGTTTTATTTCTTAGCATAATGTATTTAATCTTAGTCTAGGAAACCGTTAAAGACAATTGTGTTGCATGCACAAGTAGCCTGACACTCATTAATTTTGGCATACTGAAATGTTGACATTGTAATAAAGACAACATAAAAACAACATATACAATCCATCCTCATTTATGAGGAGCAGTTTTTATGAATACAATTAAAAAAAATTAATCTTAGTGAAATGAACAAATATACATGCATTGATTGAAAAAGAGGTGTTTGATGACATTGAATTAAACTTCATCTTAATGTGACAACGGGAAACTAAGTTGTTTTGCATGCACAAGGTAATATGATAATGAACAATTTTGTGTTAACCTTCTAATTGAAGTTGCTTTTGACACTGAATAATTTTGTCTGATAATGAAGACAACATGGAGCATGCCACAAGACAAATCATTTCCAGTGGAAGAATGTAACGACCCTAGAAATCGCTATTATAATGATGTCTTCGCAAAGTAGTAAACAAGTAAATAACAACATCTATTTTACATTATATTGTAATTGTAACATATATTGAAATTCCAGTTCACTAACGGAACTTCAAAATATAATAACATAATTTATTTATATATTACACATGTAAAAGTAGCTCCCTCGAAGCTATTCCACTGAACTATCCCTACTGTCCAGTAGTCACATCACCATCTCTCAACTCCTTATCTGCTCCCACATAAAAGTGATCATCACAGTCCCATCCACATGGAAAAATAGGGGTAAGTATTAAATCATTCGATATAATAAAACATATATAGAAGTAATAATTATATATTATGATCAATTACGAAATTATCAACACACTAAGACACCTTCCGAAAGTATATCTTAACTATGCCCGAACTCGAGGCTATCATCACGTGGGCACATTGTGATCGGTACCGCAGTACCATTCCGACCACCCTCCACACGAGTAGGATTACGGCGCCCTTCATCACTCATACTCGGAGTACCCCTCCGAGCGCGTCACCGGTCATCCCCCATCGACTTCTCACCACCCGATCTCGTAGTCTACCCGACCCGACCAATCGGTGAAGTTTGGGACCTCATTCAGAATCCTCCGACATAGTTATTACACTAATGTACTCTGTACCACCCCAGGTACCATTCAAACATAACAAAATTTATTCACATTTGCCAGATTCTGGACCACCTGTCTTCACCGCTCATTCGAGTAAATAAAAATAGTATTTGACTGATTCTGACACCATCCCTCCGGCTCCGTCTAACAAATATATAACTTCTCGGGACCGATCTCGGGCATCATCCCTCAGGCTCAATCGACCCACACACATCACAACACACTCATTCTCTCTCTCTCTCTTATATATATATATATATATATGTTTTTCTAAAATCATTTCAGAAATCATTTCGAAATTATTTCCGAAACTATTTCAGAAACTATTTTTGAAATCATTTTTGAAATCATTAAATTACTATTTTGCCCTTAATCTTTTCTTAAAATTCCACGTATGTCCCTAAATGACTATTTTACCCTTAGACATTTTTTAAAATTCCTTCCATGTCCCGAAAATGACTATTTTGCCCTTGGACATTTCAAAAAGTCCTTCCATGTCCCAAAAATGACTATTTTACCCTTGAACAATTTCAAAAATTCCATTTATGTCCCTAGGATGTAAAATGACTATTTTGCCCTTGAACATTTTCGAAAATTACATTTATGTCCCTAAGATGAAAAATGACTATTTTACCCTTGATCTTTTTAAAAAATCCCCACCATATCCCTTTCTTCTTCCTTCGCCCGATAATGGTGTCGAATTTTACAGATTTTGGCAGATTTCAAATTACTCGGTTTTAGACAACCAAATTAGTCCCAAATCAAAATTAAACATGAATTATATCTAATTTAAGTTGAAAACAACAATTTTACTATATAATTCATCCTTAATTTCAAGAATTTAATCAATATTTAAAACTTTGCAAAATATGAATAGTAATCACCTCCAGTACGTCATTTTCAAAATCCAGGTTTCAAATTTTTCAGCTTCAATCACCCAAATTAGTTCCAAATCAAAATTAAACCATAAACATGTTCAATTTAAGTTAAAAACAACAATTTTATTATATAATTCATCCTTAATTTCAAGAATTTCAGAAACTTTCAAATGGTGAACAGTTCATCAGAATCAGAAATTCTTCAAAATCAGACATTCAAATAATTCATATCTCAACTCCTATTCCTTATTCACAGAGTACCCAACAATTCAATTTCATATATTGAATGAATTAAACTTCCCCTTACCTGGTATGGTATTTCTACCGAAGCTTTCCCACTTAATTCAAGCTCTCTCCCGTTTCACCAGATCCTGCACGAGTAGAGTCTCGTTGCTTGAAATTTAGACAATAGAAGAAGAAGAATAAGGAACATGTGATATGGGAGGAAGAATTTCCCGCAAAAACCATTCATCCCCCCTTCGAACATATAAAAGAAAAAGATTTTACTGTGCATGAGGAAAACTTCGTTACGAAGTTTTCTTGCACAGTAAAATGCATACATCACAATCTTCCCTCCACAAAAATTTTCGTCCTCGAAAATGAACTTACTTGGAAATAGATATGGATAGGACTCTCGCATCTGATCCTCCATCTCTCAAGTGAAGTCTCCGAATTTATGATCCCATACTACCTTCACCATTGAGATGGTTCTACCTCTAAGTTGTTTCTGCTGAGAATCATCTATCCTCAATGGTCTCACATCCACGGAGAGATCGTCTCTAATCTGCACATCGTCTGACTCTAGGACATGACTGGGGTCATGTACATATTTCCTCAACTGAGATACATGAAATACATTGTGCAGATTCGCCAAATGAGGTGGCAACGCTAACTGATATGCCACTGGACCTACCTTCTTCAAAATCTGATATGGGCCAATAAACTTGGGAGTCAACTTCTTAGATTTAATTGCCCTTCCTACTCCAGTAGTAGGTCTGATTCTCAAAAATACATGGTCTCCCCCCTCAAATTCCAAAGGTCTCCTCCTCTGGCCCGCATATGATTTTTGTTTACTCATAGCGGCTCTCAGCTTCTCTTGTACCTCCCGGACCTTCTCTGTAGTCTGTTGGAGTAGCTCAGGTCCAATCAACACTTTCTCCTCATCCTGATACCAACATAAAGGTGTTTGACACCTCCTCCCATAAAGAGCCTCATGTGGTGCCATTCCGATACTGGTATGATAGCTGTTATTATACGTGAACTCTATTAATGGAAGCATATCATCCCAACTTCCTAGATTATCCAACACACAAGACCTCAACAAGTCTTCTAGTGACTGGATGGTCCTCTCTGACTGTCCATCTGTCTGGGGGTGATAGGATGAACTCAACCTAAGTCGGGTACCTAATGCCTCTTGTAAAGTCTGCCAGAATCTTGAAGTAAATCTAGGATCCCTATCCAAGATAATGCTAGATGGTACCCCATGTAATCGAACAATCTCGCAAATATATAGTTGTGCCAGCTTAGCCATAGATATCCTCAGATTTACAGGGAGGAAATGTGCACTCTTCGTCAATCTGTCCACTATCACCCGGATCAAATCGTGCCCCGAATTGTCCGTGGTAAATGGGTAACAAAATCCATGGTAATGCTATCCCACTTCCATTCGGGTATCTCCATTTGCTTGTAGCATTCCTCCCGACCTCCGGTGTTCCACCTTTGCTTTACGACAAGTCAATTTTTGTGTATTTCTTTCCTTAAAAAAAAAATAATAAAAAGCTGTACGTTCCATTTTTTTTTTTTCAGACAAATATCTTTCATTCTTTAAGTCAAACTATGAACATGTTTTTTTCAACTGTCTTAAATTTTTTTTTTTCATCCTTCTCTTTTTCCTCTACCAAATACATTTTTAATGGTTAAAATTCATGATTAGATTTCATTGATATTATTAAATAATTAAATATGTTTTTGTTCATATTGGTCTGTAAATTTTTTTTGCTTGATTTTTTAAAAGTAATATTTAATTTTTGTCAATTTCATTTAAAAATGTTAACAATGTATAGTATAATAATGTTATTAAAAAGACGATATAATTTTAGAAAAATATAACTTTATATTATTTTGTATAAACATTGTTATTTATACAGTAATTAATTATTATTATTATTACAAACAAAACATAATTTCTCATGTTTTTTTTCTCATTTTTGAATGGTAACAAATAAAACATGAATTTCAAACGACAATACAACCTAAAATTATCTAATTTAACTTTTAATTTATCGAATCTAACTTTTATTTTTTTTTATATATAGCCACAAATTTCTTAAATTAAAAGATTTTAAATCAAACTTATAAGTTTTAAAATTTAATTTGAATTTTATGCAATTAACCTATAATATTTTGAGTCTAATATCAAATTTCTAAAATCTAACTTAAAAATTAGTTAATGTAACAATTTTCTTCCTGCATTGCATAAATGAACAAAGTAAAAATTAACTCATAATCAAATACGAATCATTATATAATTGATTATGCAGAGTCCATATTAAAGATGCGGTGGGAGGTTTGGATGTAGTTTTCCTTCCTTCGGGTGGAACAACAACTACAACTTCAAATATAACTGGAAGAATAACAAATGCACCTCGAAGAACAACAAGTATAACTATTCTTGCTCGATCCATCCTTCACTTGGATATGAAAGAACTCATCAAAATGGGTGATGTGATGTGAATGGACGAAGAAGGAATCCGCAACCTTCACTTATGGGAACGAGTGTATTTATGGACAAAAAATAATTTCCTCACGAAATGATATTAAACTTCTAATTAATGCAACGTCACCGTCACTCGTGGTTTAATGCACATGGTGTAGCATAGTCTCACATAAAATAATTTGACCATCTAATTCTATAAGGTGTGTGCACATGGACCTTAAAAGAAAAGTTAAAATGACAATTTCACCTTAATTATATATATTTATTAACATGTAATATTTTTATTATTTATTGCATTTTTTTACTTATTTATAGTCTATTTTTTTAGAAATCCCCCTCCCCTTTATATTTTTATAGCATTAAATTATTATCAAATTAAGAGAATTGTCATTGATATGATTCAAACTCGAGTAGTACTTTAGAGTTGGACGACGATACTCCAACACCACTAAGCTACTAGAATTTTTTGATAATAATTTACAAATAAATTATATTTATATATAAATAAATGTATATCCATGTAAATATATAAATACAAATATATTTATATATTTTGATATATTTATATATAATTAAATATTTATTTTTTAAAATTATTTAATTTAATAAATTAATCTAATTATGATTAAATTAAATTATTAAATAACAAAATTTTTAAATTTTTAATTAAGTGAATAATTAATTTATTAGAATATATTAAGTAATTATTATATAATTTTACCGACGGATATATCTCATCGATAACTAATTATTAATTTGTTAATAGATTTACCGATGTAAATATCTATCGGTAAATAATTGTTAATTTAGCGACGGATATATCCATTTGTTAATTGAAATTTTCATAAATTCATCTGTCATGGATACCATTAAAAAAATTACTGATGTAAATGAGATGAACAAAAATACACATGCATTGGTGGAAAAAAGGTGTTTGATGACTCGGATTCAAACCTCATATCAGCGTGACAGTTGGATACTGAATTACTTTTCATTGTGACAGTTAGTTACTTTGCATGCCTTTCTGAATATTTTTGTCATGTTGTAATTATTTGAGTTGTTTTTTCCAAATAACAAAAACAATATGGATGGTGTTACAAGACAAATGCAATTTTCAATGGTACAGAAAGAAACCGCCAGCAATTCATTCACCACCGCTTGGAAGAATGACCACTTTATTTTGTTAACAATTAGTTTTATTATAACAATTTTGACATAATGCTGAAAAGTTAGCGTTGTAATTATTTTAGTTGATTTTTAAAAACAACGAAGATATATACTGGCATGTTATAAGACAAATGTAGTTTCCAGTCATCATAAAAAGAAGCTAATAACAAAAAGAAGTTGTAACATGTGGAACAATATAAAATATTAACGTTGTAATTATTTCCATTGCATGACATGCATGTGGAACAAGATAAATGCAGAATGCAGTTTTCAGTAATCACAGAAAGAAAATAATTATTATAGTTACTTTTTTTAATAAAAACAACATACATATCAGAAGACAGTTTTCAGTTATCACAGAAAGAAAGAAGCTGTCACACAAAAAACATACTAAAATCTTAACGTTGTAATTATTTACGTTACTTTTTTTTAAAAGAAAACAACATGGATGTCACAAGACAAATGCAGTTTCCAGTGATCACAGAAAGAAAGAAGCTGTCACACAAAAAACAGACTAATGTTAACGTTGTAATTATTTACGTTTTTTTTTTTTAACAATAAAAACAACATTCATATCATAAGATAAATACAGTTTTTAGTGATCACATAAAAAAGCTGTAACACATAACACATACTGAAATGTTAAAGTTAAACAATAAATACATCACATGTGACAAAGACAAATGTAGTTTTCAGTCATCACAAAAAAAAGCTGTGACATACAAGACATACCGAAATGTTAACGTTATACTAATGAATTGCCTTTTTAAATAATGAAGAAAAGATTGAATGTCGTTTTCAATGGTACAAAAAAAATGACCCCACAGTTTGGAAATTTTAATCTATTAATAATGCTGGATTAGTTTTATTATAACACTTAATCAAGGTCACAGTTTTCTTTTATTGTTGTTCTATACAAAAAAAGTCATGTACACTTACATTGACATGAATTAGCATAGATAGGTTTATATTTTATTTAATTGTGTTTTTAGTATGTGTAATTTAAATTCTTACTTAAAAAAGATTTTTTAACTAAATACTCATTCAATGTCTATCTATTACATAAAATATAAGTAATTATTTTAACTGATGAGATAATATTGTGAAATAGTAAGAGATTGTTAATATATAATGATTTGAATTCTTTTAGAAATCAAAATAAAAAATTTATAAAATTAAAGGTCAACATATAATAAGCGGTTCCACCGCTAACTAAAATATATTTTAAAATATTATTTAAATACTTTTAATAATAAATTTAAATATGTTATTAATCTAATAAATATATAAATCTTTTTAAAACTATAATTTAAACTATAAATTTTAAATAAAACATTATAATATTATATATATGTATAAATATTTTTTTAACTATTTAAAAAACTAATCGATTATTTCAAAAAGTAATCAATTAGTTTTTTCATACTGAGAACCTAGGTTATTTTTTAAATAATTGATTAATTTTTAAATAATTAATTAGTTTTTCAAATATATATTAAATAATTATAAATAAAAATATATATCAAATTAAAATTAAAAAAAATTATTTTTAAATTATATAAATTATAAATATAAAGTTAAAAAAATTATATTTAAAATTATAACCTTAAAAAAATTATGATTATAAAATTAATAAAAATATAACTATTTTTAATGTTAAATAAATTATATATATATTATATAAATTATATATATATATTATATAAATTATATATATATATTATATAAATTATATATATATATATATTATATAAATTATATATATATTACATAAATTAAAATTACATGTATGAACTCTAAATTAATTTTATATATAAAATTTAGATAAATAAAAAAAATTATCAACTTAAAAATAAATTATATTTTAATATATATACCTTAAAATAATAATTATCAACTTAATGTATACATTAAAATAATAATTTTCAACTTAAAAATAAATTATATTTAAAACCCTAAAACAATGAATGATGAGAGCATTGTACAACTCAATTGAGTATTCCAAATCCAACTCAAAATTATTGTAAAAATCGCAACAAGGGAAATTTAAAAAAAGATGGGAACCACTAAACAGCAGCCAGAATTCTGTCTACCACACCTTAGTTCATACAACTATTGTCCGCAGCCAAGACACAACTTCGAAAAATTGTTATGGAACGGGTAAATGATATTACCCTTATAGAACAGATATAGAAGATAAAGATTTACAATTCACTGCGCTAATCAGAATTCCATAAAAAGTTATACTAAATGCACTTAGTTTCATGTTCAAGCCAGAAGACCAATCTCGTCCTCAAAGAAATCCAATATATTCGTTAGTTTACTTTCGCTTCTGTCAACAAGGTTTAAACTTCATAGCTGTCTCCAAAAATAAAATATCATCCTAAGTACCTAACAAAGAGAGTCGTTCTGCATTTACCACATGTAAATCTCTCACTCACATCAAACAGCCCAACAAAAGCAAACCCTAGTTTGATACCCAGATTTTCTAACAAAGCCAAAAGCGCCACCACCACTGAAGAAAGTTGCATACAAACAAAAAACTGAAAAAATACAAAAAAAAAATAACATTCAAACAACGCATAGTTCAGAAATCTCGACCCAATCAAAGTCCATACCCTCTTCCTCATCCTCATCTTCGTTATCCACATCGCGACCCTCTTCCAATTCGTCCCCATCAACAGGTTCCCTCTCTTCCTCGTCGAGCTCGACGTCGTCTGCGCGCATTGAACAGCCAAAGGAACCGAAAATGTCAGAAACTTCGAAGGGAAAATGAAAATGCAAAAAGGAATTATGGAGTTTCTAGGGTTAACCTTCTTCATCTGAGATTACGCCTTTTGCCATGATTGAAGACTACGACCGCATAGAATAACAAAAACGACAGAGAAAACCAAACGGAAGCTGTTGCCAAATGCGATTCAGAAGAAGCGACGGAAGAGAGTTGAGTTTGGAAGTGAAGAATGAGAGAAGACGGTGTTATGCATTGCGGGAAATATAGCGCCTGCATCCTCATTTAACAATTAAGATATTAATTATATTGTTTAAAATGTATTACAGTTATACAAATTTTAGAAATATGGCGTAATATAAAATGTGTGTCCTGCGTTCAATTTTGTAGGGTTATTAAATTTAAAATATTCTATATTAACTAAAAAAATAGATAGCCTAGTAAAAGCACGATAGATAAAATTATGTTTTCGAAATTAAAAAAAAAAGTTTGATAAAATTAGTTTATAATTTTTTTAATTATTTTCTTTAAAATTAAAATATATTTCACAATTTTGCTTTTGTATTAGCATACAATTTTTAATTTTGTTAAATTTACGAGTTAAATTAATATTCTAAAACCATTTTTTTAAAACATATTATTTTTCTATTTTTTCAGTACAAATTAATAAAACAAATGAATATTTTAAAACCATTTTTAAAACTGTTATTTTGAAGAAAAAAAAATATATATATATATATAAACAGTTAAAAAATACTTAAACATAAAAAATATATCTTTCGAAATGTTTAGCTTTTTAGAAAGTATTTGTCAAAATGTTAAAATTTTAATTTTAAAAAATATTTTTTAGAATAATTATAAAATATAATATTTTATAAATATTTTCCTATCAAAAATATAAGATGGAGATATAAATAATCATTAAAAAATAAGTCTTAATAAAAAAAAAAAACTCAACATTAATATTCTCAACAAATAACTCTTAGCATTAAACTAATTGAATCCTTGCATTTTCAAAAACTAATCAGAACACCAATGAACAAATATAAAATCCGAGTAAGCCATTGAATTCCAACAAAATATTCTTCAAATCAAACACAAGAGGTAAACTTCAGTTTTCATTAGGCACAAATCCTTAACACTAACATTCCATTTGTTACGGAACACTTAACTGTTAAAAATAAGAATGACACACTAACAAATATTTTAAACCTATCTACTCTTCGTCTTTTCAAAATAAAAAAAATGAAATGAACAAAAAACAAAGATAAAATATTGATGGCGTATATTGATCATGGATGTTCTTGTGTGTTCATTACAAGTGGCAAGAAACTTCTCCCGAGTCATAGGGACGGATACAGAGGGGGCGAGCATGGCCCGGGCCTCCTCTTTCAAATTTTATTTATATATATATATATATATATATATATATATATATATATATATATATATATATATATATATATATATATATATTATATTTCATTTATATATTATAAAAAAATTTATATTAAAAATAATAATAATAAAAAGTTTCAAAATTTAGGATAAGTAAGTTCTAAAATGTATTAATTTATATATTATAATATAATAAAACTATTATATTATAAAAAATATGATATTTTAACTTTTATTTAATATTTATTATTAATTTTTTTTTCGTTCCTGCAGCAAATATGTAAGATTTTCAGGCGTTCTGCAATTTAGTGTTAAGATGGATACTTCCATATATACAACAAATCGCAACAAAGGAAACATGCAGTCTTAAACTTGACTATCACAAAATTCATAAATTGAGACAAATCTTTGGCTTGTTTGGTTATTGCTTTTAAAGATAATTTTCTAAAATTAAAAAAATGGTTTAATTGGTCAGTTTTATAAATTATTTCAACAAATATATATATATATATATATATATATATATATATATATATATATATATATATATATATTTTAACTATAACTAATCGATTATTTCAAAAAGTAATCGATTAGTTTTTTCATACTTAATGAGAATCAGTTATTTTTTTAAATAATTGATTAATTTTTAAATAATCAATTAGTTTTTTAAATATATATTAAATAATTATAAATAAAAAAATATATCAACTTAAAATTAAAAAAAAAATTATTTTTAAATAATATATATTATATAAATTATAAATATAAAGTTAAAAAAATTATATTTAAAATTATAACCTTAAAAAAATTATAATTATAAAATTAATAAAAATATAACTATTTTTAATGTTAAATAAATTATATATATTATATAAATTATATATATATATATATATATATTACATAAATTAAAATTACATATATGAACTCTAAATTAATTTTATATATAAAATTCACATAAATAAAAATAAAAATTATCAACTTAAAATTACATATATGAACTATAAATTAATTTTATATATAAAATTTACATAAATAAAAATAAAAATTATCAACTTAAAAATAAATTATATTTTAATATATATATATATATATATATTTATTTATTCTCTAAAGTATAACTTATTTTCATTTTTATAATATAATATATATATATATATATATATATATATATTTAACTATGTTTATTTTAGATAGCGGTTAACGTGGGACCGCTTATCATATATGTCACTTTTAAGAGCTGTTCGACATTAACAGACTATGATGTATGTCACTTTTAAGAGCGAGTTCCTCTTTAACCGCTATTATATATATTTTTTAACTATTTAAAAAACTAATCGATTATTTCAAAAAGTAATCGATTAGTTTTTTCATACTTGATGAGAATCAGTTATTTTTTTAAATAATTGATTAATTTTTAAATAATCAATTAGTTTTTCAAATATATATTAAATAATTATAAATAAAAAAATATATCAACTTAAAATTAAAAAAAAAGTAATTATTTTTAAATTATATATATTATATAAATTATAAATATAAAGTTAAAAAAATTATATTTAAAATTATAACCTTAAAACAATTATAATTATAAAATTAATAAAAATATAACTATTTTTAATATTAAATAAATTATATAAATTATATATATATATATAAATTATATATATATATATATTGCATAAATTAATATTACATATATGAACTCTAAATTAATTTTATATACATTACTATGAAAAATATCATCAAATAATTTAATTTATATAATTTAATTAATAATAGTAATAATATATTTTATATATATATATATATATATATAAAAGTTTGTAAACATAATATTTAAATCAATCAGATATAATATATTTATTATTACGTTTCTCTAAACTAGTTTCTGAAATATTTGTAAATGTACTAAATTTAAAAAATAAAACACACAAGAATATTTGAGAATCAAATTAACTAAGTTTCTCTCAAATAATCAGTGCCGACTTATTTGAAAACATGTTTTAAAATTAAAATTTGAGATGTGATGAGTATAATATTTTATAATTATTTTTAAAAAAATAATACATTTATTTTTATTTTTATTTTTGGAAATGCTTTGAATGTGTTCAGAAATAAAATTTTAGAAATGATTAGGAGATGTATCAAAGATTTAATCCTTTTACTATAAATAAATAGACATTTTTAAATGATTAGAAATGATTATTTCAAAAAGTAATCGATTAGTTTTTTCATACTTGATGAGAATCAGTTATTGTTTTAAATAATTGATTAAAATCAATTAGTTTTTCAAATATATATTAAATAATTATAAATAAAAAATATATCAACTTAAAATTAAAAAAAAAGTAATTATTTTTAAATTATATATATTATATAAATTATAAATATAAAGTTAAAAAAATTATATTTAAAATTATAACCTTAAAACAATTATAATTATAAAATTAATAAAAATATAATTATTTTTAATGTTAAATAAATTATATATATTATATAAATTATATATATATATATATATATATATATATATATATATATATTACATAAATTAAAATTACACTCTAAATTAATTTTATATACATTACTATGAAAAATATCATCAAATAATTTAATTTATATAATTTAATTAATAATAGTAATAATATATTTTTTAAATATATATATATATATATATAAAAGTTTGTAAACATAATATTTAAATCAATCACATATATTATATTTATTATTACGTTTCTCTAAACTAGTTTCTGAAATATTTGTAAATGTACTAAATTTAAAAAAAAAACACAAGAATATTTGAGAATCAAATTAACTAAGTTTCTCTCAAATACTTATTTGAAAACATGTTTTAAAATTAAATTTTGAGATGTGATGAGTATAATATTTTATAATTATTTTTAAAAAAATAATACATTTATTTTTATTTTTATTTTTGGAAATGCTTTGAATGTGTTCAGAAATAAAATTGTAGAAATGATTAGGAGATGTATCAAAGATTTAATCCTTTTACTATAAATAAATAGACATTTTTAAAATAAAATTTACATAAATTTATTATTTAAATAGTCTATAAATTGATTATAAACACTTTAATTATTTACTATAGAAATAAATCTTACTTATTATTTTATATTTTCAATGTAATAACTTTAGCTATTGATTTTATTAAAATATGATAAAAATATATATTCAAAATAAAAAAGTCATGTTATTTAGAAGAAGATAAATATTTTCAATGTAATAACTTTAGCTATTGATTTGATTAAAATATGATAAAAATATATATTAAAAATAAAAAAGTCATGCCATTTAGAAGAAAATAAATATATGTAATAATAATATTGTGTGAGTTAATTTTTAAAACTTTAAGAGTATTATTTATTTAATAAATATATATAATTTTTTTATTAGTAGTATTATTAAATACATAAATTGGAAAAAAAATTTATCAAACCAAAATAATTTTTAAAATACATTATTAAAAATTTAATGCATGTTTAATATTACATACAATAAACTCTACACATGGTCTCCTAGGGTAACCACTACGCCAGCGCCACTAAACAAGTGCGACCATATCCATCAAGTTATTTTTTCTCTTCTCAGGTTCGGGTCTATCTCCTCTCTCCCGATTAGGGATGGCAAAACGGGCTAGGGCCGGCGGCCGGCCGCCAGTCCGCCATAATATGGCGTGGCGGGTTGGTGTTTCAGCCCACCAGCCCGCTTTTGCCCCGCCTGCCAAGCTCGCTAACCCGTCGAGCCAACCATGCGGACAGGACGAGCCAACCCGCGACCGCCTAATTAATAAAAATATAATTTTTTACTGTAATAAAATTAATTATAAAGATAATATATAAAGTTAAAAATTTTAAAAAGAGAATTAAAAAAATTTTATACTCACGTAAAATATTCTCCTTCCTAAAACATAATCTTCTCTCATGTTCTCCTTGTTTATCCTAAGACTCGATTATTTTTATCCTTATTACTTGAATTAATGGTGTAAGAATTACTCAACCAAGAATAATATGAAGTTTTATCAAATAAAAAAGATATAGATATTTGAATTCTTCAATATAAAAAATATAAATTTTATAAGTTTAACGTTATATATATATATATATATATATATATATATATTTGTTATTATTTATTATTATATAAATTTTATTATTGTTCTAAATTATAATTTCTTAAAATAATGTATTGATTTATATTATTAAATTAAAATAATATATATATATATATATATATTGAATTATTGACAAACAAATAATAATTTTATTATTAAATTTATTAAAAAAATTATTAAAAAAAAATTTCTAAATTATGGCTGGTCACTCGCAATCGCTAACCCGTCCCTTGACGAGCAGTAAAGTGTATAGCTCATCATGATTATATCGGCTAGCCCGCTCGCCATTTAGCGGGTCAAGGCGAGCGGCAACGAGACGGGCTGGCCCGTTTTGCCATCCCTACTCCCGATTATTCTCTTCTCTGTATTTATCGCTCTCATTTGCATTTATGCCCTCTTTCAAACCCTAGCCTTCTATTTGATTCTGTACTAGTGCCGGTGACGGTGGCGCACAAGAAAATCGCTTTCTCTCTTTTGATTGACCAGATCCCGAATCCTTGTTTGTTCGGTTGGTTTATACGCCTATAATACTATTTTCGGTTATATTGATGTTCAATTCGTGATCTTATCTGCTATTTAAATGGGTTTCGTGTCATTTATACTATGATTCAATTATCTGTCTTATTTTAATAGTTGACAGACTTTGGTGTTTTAGTTGCTGCTTTTAGTTGTCTCATCACTTTATGAATGTATTTTCTTTAATTTAATTGATTCCAATCCCATGAACTTCGAAACCGGTGTGTTGGAAAATTTTCACTTTAGGGTTCGCTTTTTTGTTGTTTTGGGTTGAAATTTTGTTCTGTTCTTGTTTGTCACCCCTTATTTGGATTTGAACAGGTTGTCATATACCTGAGTTTTCAATATGACATCGTTCTTGGAGCCTGAGAATGCTCTTAAAAGGGCGGAAGGTTGGTTAAAGAAAATGATTATATACTGTTTGTGATTGATGTCTTTTACACCTTTGCTTAAAATGTGTTTTTTTTTTTTTTTTATGTAAAATGATAATGATGCAATTGAGTGATTCTGAAAATTGCAGAGTTGATCAACGTTGGGCAGAAGTAGGATGACAAAAGACACTTGAAAGGATTATGTTCAAGTATGTTGTGGACATGCAAAAAGGACGGTTTGCTAAAGATGGGCTCATTCAGTACCGGATAATATGTCAGCAAGTGAATGTTAGTTCATTGGAGGAGGTTATTAAACACTTTGTGCACCTTTCAACTGAGAAAGCTGAACAAGCCCGTAGCCAAGCACAAAAACACTTGATGTCGATGATTTAGAGGCTGATAAAAGGCGGGGGATTTAATGTTGAGCTATGTCAGTGGTGAGAAAGGAAAGGACAAATCTGATCAAGAGCTTGTTACCCCATGGTTTAAATTTCTTTGGGAGACTTACAGGACAGTGCTTGAGATATTGCGGAACAACTGAAAATTGGAAGCCTTATATGCTGTAATTCTTCTTATGTTTTCTTTCAACTTGATGTTATAGGTCTTCTTTGAAAAATATCTAGCTTTCGCAAACAATAGCTTTGATATTTATTTGTTGTTCATAATTTCATAGTGAATTCTTCTCTCTTTCCTATTGTGATAATTGGTTTCTTGAGAGACTGACAAATATGCCTCTGTTTTACTAAAGTGTTTCTGAATTTTACAGTGTTACTAAATTTAGACATTTAACAGTGGCATGCATTTTGAACTATTTTATAATTAATTGATTGGTTTTAGGATATATTGTTGTTCTATTCTTACATTTCTTTATTGTTTTAAACTGTTACATTTCTTCTTATGTTTTCTTACAACTTGATGTTAGGTCTTCTTTGAAAAATATATAGCTTTCGCAAACAATAGCTTTGATATTTATTTGTTGTTCATAATTTCATAGTGAATTCTTCTCTCTCTCCTATTGTGATAATTGGTTTCTTGAGAGACTGACAAATATGCCTCTGTTTTACTAAAGTGTTTCTGAATTTTACAGTGTTACTAAATTTAGACATTTAACAGTGGCATGCATTTTGAACTATTTTATAATTAATTGATTGGTTTTAGGATATATTGTTGTTCTATTCTTACATTTCTTTATTGTTTTAAACTGTTACATGCTTCTTTGTAACAGATGATAATGATAATATAAGAATGCTTCTTTAACTAATAGACTCTAATGCTATTTGCATATGACAGTTCATCGAGCTTTTCAGTTCTGTAAGCAATATAAACGAACAACAGAGTTTTGCAGACTATGTGAAATCATAAGAAACCATTTGGCTAATCTCAATAAATACTGCGACCAACATGACAGGCCTGATCTTTCAGCTCCTGAAAGGTTACAATTCTATCTTGATACTAGGGTTGAGCAGCTGAAAATTGCCACTGAACTTGAACTTTGGCAGGTTGGCATTTCTTATTTATATATGTGCATCTATCACATGTTTGTTTTGTTAATGTTCAAGGCATTGAGAAGTTTTGGCAATACAACCTGACAATGTTTTTTCTTTTTGCAGGAAGCCTTTAGATCAGTGGAGGATATCCATGGACTGATGTGCTTGGTCAAGAAAACGCCTAAGCCATCTTTGATGGTTGTTTACTATGTGAAGCTGACAGAAATATTTTGGATATCATCAAGTCATCTATATCATGCATATGCATGGTTCAGGCTCTTTTTATTGCAGAAAAGCTTCAATAAAAATCTGAGTCAAAAGGATTTGCAATTAATAGCATCATCTGTTATTCTAACTGCACTGTTAGTGCCTCCTCATGATCGTACCTATGGTGCATCCCATTTGGAACTGGAGCCCAAAAAAGAGAGAAATTTGAGGATGGATAATCTCATTGGCTTTAATCTTGAAACTAAACCTGAAAGCAAAGAAAAGGTATTTTACTTCCTCTCAATCGTTGTCCCAAAGTAGCATATTAGATGTCTTTTTTGCAAAACAACTTCAAAATAGTGAAAGATAATGTTTATGTGTGTCGTGTATAGTTCATATTCTTCTTTCCTTTTGAATTAATCAAAATAGGAAAAGAAAATTTTCATGAATCTAGTTAAAACAGTTATAAGTGCAAGTGCAAGATAGTGACTGGTTTTTGAAAAACCAGTATTAAGTATACAACACAGGGAGCTTTCAGGTTACTCTATATGCATTCAAAACTGGTGATAGAGTCACGTTATCTAAAACATAGTTTTTTAACATATTATTGGACAAATATCTACTTTAGCATGTACCTATTCTTTTTAACTGACTTCCACATTTTTCGAATTTTATACCACAGACTCCTCTAAATCTTGTATCTGCCATGAAAGGTAGCCGAGAGAAACATGGGGGACCACACGCGAAACTGCATGTGAAATGGGCGCATGATGTGTATGATCCAATACCTACATTATTATCACACACTGTCAAAAGCAACAAGAAGCAACGAAAATCCAGGAAGAAGAAACCTGAAAAGAAGAATGGAAAGAAGGGTAAAAAGGGAAATTCATCTCAAGGGGACAACAACAAAGATCAACAGTTTCGCAAGCTAGGTGGAATTTCTGGTTTGTGCTACAAGTCGATGGATTCTTGTGATCCAGTGCTTGTAGCTTCTTCTGAATTAGATGCTCTTGATGTTCTTAACCAGGATTGGTATTGTGGAACTAGCTTCTTGAAAAAATCAGTTACAGAAGTGCACTATTCAGTTGCAGAAGCGTTATGACTGAAACATACTAATGTTGTATTCTATTTCCTTCAATGTACATAAATAAGCAATAGTTTGTTATTGGGTGCAAAAAGAAAAAAATGGGATTGTATGTTCTTTGCATGTTAAATTTTGTTTCCTTCAATGTACATAAATAAGCAATAGATTATTGATGATGTATGGAAAAAAAAAAGGGATTGTATGTTCTTTGAATGTTGTATTCTATTAACTTCAATGTATATTTTGCATATGGCTTGTACGTTAAAAAAAGAAAAAAGGATTATATGGACAAAATTATTTGATGTTATCGAGCAATGGTAGTGTTACTTTTAGTTTTTCTAAAATAGTTTTTTGTGTTTGTGTTCTATTAGTATTTTCTTTTATGGTGTTGCCAAGACTCTTATTCCATGGAAAAAAATAAGTGATATAGACACTACCTTATTGATAGCAATTGATTTTACATGAATCTAGGTCAAATTCTTTCTTAAATAGCTATTAAGGAAAAGAGTTAGCTAGTTTCATGGAACACATAAATTTATATCAAGTCAATATTGTTTTAAGAGATTATTTAGATAAAAATATCATTTTCTAGGTCGCATTAAAACTCTTTAAAAATATATTACTGAATAAACGGAAAGATAAATTATTTAATGTAAAATTATTAATCAGATTGGATGTTGGTTTAAGTTCGAACTTAACTTGTAAAAATAATTAATAATTTAAGTTTGATTTATTTATTTAATATAATTAAATTAAAAATTTGAGCTTTGATTAGTAAAAAAGTAATAAATTTAATCTTGACTTATTTGATTTATTTACAATTCAATTAACTTTGATTATTGGAAAACTTTTAATTTAATGTTTAACTTCATCAATGTAGCATTTATTTATCATTTTAATATTAATCTATCAATAAAAATATGTATAAGCTTTTTCTTTGAAAAATTATTCATATATTAGAAAAAAGCTTAAAATTAAACTTTATTACCAGCTAATAAAACATAAACTTTGAAATACGGTATTAACATCTCAATAAAACATAATTTAACAAAGGCTTGTTTGTCCGAATGTTAAGAAAAATAGATACAAAATCTCTCTCTCTCTCTCTCTCTCTCTCATATATATATATATATTTGCGTTGTTAGTATGAAATATATTATTAACCTTTTTAATAACTAATATTTATTGCAAAATCTGTTTATTATTTTATATATACAGATAATACGAATACAAATACATATTTTTAAATTACCGATTATTTCTTTATTTATAATATGTAAGAAAATAAAATTTACATAAATTTATCATTCTATAAATTGATTATAAACATTTTAATTGTTCACGGAAATAAATCTTACTCATTATTATCTATCTTTAATATAATAACTTTATTTATTGATTTGATTCAAATATGATAAACATATATATTCAAAATAAAAAATTATGTCATTTAGAAGACAATACATACATGTAATAATAACCCTAAAATGTAATCCGATTAAAAAAAAGTCACAGACAAATTTTAAAACTTAAAGCATTATTTATTTAAAAAATATATAGGATTTGTTTATTATTATTATTTTGTAAATAACTAAATTGGACAAATACATGTTTTTTTTATCAGACAAAATAAATTTTTAAGGTGCATTATTAAAATTTAGTGCATGTGTAATATTACCTGCTTTCTGCACTCCTATAATTTTTCTTGGGCATTCGTATAACCAGATCAAAATATATTTTTATTAGTTTTTGTTTGAAATTTAGGAGTTTATTGTTTTTTTCCTCTCCATCTTTATATTTTTTTTTGTGCATTTGTAATTTTATTTTCCTGTTGTTCCATTTCCAGTGAATACTGTTTTAAAGTAAGAAATTGTTAATGTTTTGTATTATATGAAAATTGGATTGAAAGTGAGTATAAAATTTGAAGTCGCTTGAAATGTATTTTCAAATCTGAGAATAACTTATGAAAAAGTGGATTTGAATTATATTTTTGAAATATATTTTTAAATTGATTATTTTGATAATATATTTAAAAACAAATAATTCAAAATACATTTTCAGAATAATCATATCAAAAATATATTTCGAAATAATCAATAATGCATTCGTACACCTAATTAGAAAATGAAATATATTAATAAGAGGTAAAATAGGATTTATATTATTTCTGGGAATACAGACAGAAACTATGGAGGTAGATAAAGAAACAGCCCAATTATAACAAGAAACAAGCGTGGGCAGAAATTGGCCCAACCCAATCGAGGCCCATCTATTTACAAACTGGAATAGGCATTCGAAATAAACTTTGTGCTCCCATCCTCTCCTAGGGTAACCACGACGACGCTACTAGAGCAAGTGCGGCCTCTTTTCAGGTTCGCGTCTATCTCTCCCTTTTCAGGTTCGCTTCTATCTCTCTCCCTCCTTCGACTTTCCTGCTCTCTATATTTATCGTTCTCATTTGCATTTCTACCCTTTTTCAAACCCTAGTCTCTATTCGATTCTGTACCTTCGCCACTGCCAGTGACGGTGCGCACGACAGAATCGTTTTCGCTCTTCTGATTTACCAGATCCCGAATCTTGTTTGTTCCGATCGTTTATATACCTGTGATACTATTTTCAGTTATATTGATGCTCACTTCGTGATCTTATCTGCTATTTAAATGAGTTTCACTTCATGTATATTCAATTATATGTAAATCTGTTTCTCATTTTAATCTTGTCAGACTTTGCTGTTTTAGTTGTTTCCTCATATGAATGTATTCTCTTTAAATTTATTCCAATCCCATGAACTAGAATCCGGTGTGTTGAAAATTTTTTAGGGTTCGTTTTATTTGTTGTTTTGGGTTAAATTTTTGTTGTTCTTGTTTGTCACACTTTATTTGTATTTGAACAGGGTTGTTATCTGAGTCGTCAATATGACATCGTTCTTGAAGCCTGAGAATGCTCTCAAAAGGGCGGAAGGTTAGTTAAAGAAAATTATATTATTACATACTGTTTGTGTTTGTGATTGATGTCTTTTTTACTCTTCGCTTAAAATCTCTTTTTTGTTTTTATATGTAAAATGACAATGATGTAATTGACTGATTGTGAAAATTTCAATAACATGCAGAGTTGATCAACGTTGGGCAGAAGCAGGATGCTTTGCAGACTCTTCATGACCTCATTACCTCAAAGAGATATAGAGCATGGCAAAAGACACTTGAAAGGATTATGTTCAAGTATGTTGAACTTTGTGTGGACATGCGCAAAGGACGGTTTGCTAAAGATGGGCTTATTCAATACAGAATAATTTGTCAACAGGTCAATGTTAGTTCACTTGAAGAGGTTATTAAACACTTTATGCACCTCTCAACTGAGAAAGCTGAGCAAGCCCGTAGCCAAGCACAGGCATTAGAAGAAGCACTTGATGTTGATGATTTAGAGGCTGATAAAAGGCCGGAGGATTTGATGTTGAGCTATGTCAGTGGGGAGAAAGGAAAGGACAGATCTGATCGAGAGCTTGTTACCCCATGGTTTAAATTTCTTTGGGAGACATACAGGACAGTGCTTGAGATATTGCGGAACAACTCAAAACTGGAAGCTTTATATGCTGTAATTCTTCTTCTGTTCCTTTACAACTCGATGTTATAGATGTTCTTAAAAAGATATCTAGCTTTCGTAAACAATATGATGAATGATATAGATATTTATTTTTTACTACGAATATCTACCTTTCCTAAACAAAATCTAGCTTTCTAAAACAATATATTGTTGACTACGAATGATGCTTGGTTTTGCTTCGGCTATTTGTTGTTCATAATTTCATAGTGTTCTCTCTCCCGGTGGATAATTGGTTTTCTTGAGAGACTGACAAATATGCCTCTGTTTTCTAAAATGTTTCTGAATTTTACACTGTTACGAAATTTAGACATTTAACAGTGGCATGCATTTTAACTATTTGTAATTAATTGATTGGTTTTAGGATATATTGTGGTTCTATGCTTACATTTCTTTGTTGTTTTCAACTGTTACATGCTTCTGATGATGATAATAATTTAAGAATGCTTCTTTGACTAATAATAGACTCTAATGCTATTTGCAGATGACAGCTCATCGAGCTTTTCAGTTCTGTAAGCAATATAAACGAACAACAGTGTTCCGCAGACCGTGTGAAATCATAAGAAACCATTTGGCTAATCTCAATAAATATCGTGACCAACGTGGCAGGCCTGATCTTTCAGCTCCTGAAAGCTTACACTTGTATCTTGATACTAGGGTTGAGCAGCTGAAAATTGCCACTGAACTTGAACTGTGGCAGGTTGGCATATCTTGCATGTTTGTTTTGTTAATATTCACAGCATTGAGAATTTTTGGCAATACAACCTGACAATGTTTTTTCTTTTTGCAGGAAGCCTTTAGATTGGTGGAGGCTATACATGGACTGATGTGCTTGGTCAAGAAAACGCCTAAGCCATCTTTGATGGTTGTTTACTATGTGAAGCTGACAGAAATATTTTGGATATCATCAAGTCATCTGTATCATGCATATGCATGGTTCAGGCTTTTTTTATTGCAGAAAAGCTTCAACAAGAATCTGAGTCAGAAGGATTTGCAATTAATAGCTTCATCTGTTGTTCTAGCTGCACTTTCAGTGCCTCCTCATGATCGTACCTATGGCGCATCCCATTTGGAACTGGAGCACGAAAAAGAGAGAAATTTGAGGATGGCTAATCTCATTGGCTTTAATCTTGAAACTAAACCTGAAAGCAGAGAAATGGTATTTTACTTCCCCTCAATTGTTGTCCCAAAGTTGCATGTTAGATTTCTTTCTTGTAAAACTTACTATGCTTCTGTTTCCTTTTTGGTTTGTCCCCAGCTGTCAAGATCATCACTTCTTGCTGAACTGGTAAGTTATGTGCTTCAACTTTATCAAAGTTTTGAATGTGTATTATTTATCGCTTCAATAGTTGTCTATATTATTTGTGAAGCACGGTTTCTTTTGTTTATATTACGGATACACTTGTAGTATCAAGTGTAAA